CGCCGCCGCCCGGCCTCGCGCAGGGCCATCTTGGTTCCCTTCGGCCACCGCTGCAGCCGGACCCGGGTTGACCTCCGGGCTCCGCGGTCCTGTGGGACCTGCGTTTCCAAACTTCTGCGGGGTCTCCGCGAGCGGGGAGGGGTGGGGGTTGCTCGGGCCTGTGCCACCTGGAAGGTAGTGAGACAGCCACTGGCCTGGTAGCAGCCATTTATTCCGGCCCAGGGATCCCAGTGTGAGCATTGCATGCAGAAAGGAATAGATGAGGAGTGGATTCGGGTGTTGGAGAGACGCAGGAAAGAGGAAGGCAGGGGTCAAGGTGCTCTGTGCAGTGTCTGGACCTCCGAGGCAGACTCCTAATTGATGGCCTTCCCCCCTGGAAATGCTTATTAGCCGCGTGTGGCCCTTGACAGCGGTCCTGTGAAAACACCAGGCCCCAGCCCATCAGGGACCGTTTCCTTGAGTTTACTGGGGAATTTCGAGGAGCAATGCTATTTTTTAAAAAGGGAATCTCAGAAATGTCTTGACAGCTTTAGCAAACTGCTTAGCTCAATTATTAGCAGAATCAGGTGGAGTGCTCCTGGTAGTGTGGCCATAGTTATTCTTTGATTAAAATCTTCCTGAAGGGCTCCTCCTGGGTCCCTCTGAACTGGGTGTCTAGTTAAGTTCAGCATTTACTGATTATTTCATGTGTGAGAACGTGTGTGATTCAGGAAGCAGAGACAGGGTTATATTCATTTTTATAATCCTGTCACCCTCCCCAGGAGGTGATTTTAATATACATAAAGAACAGCGATAGATATAGAGAGAGGATGATGTCAGAGCTCAGGACACTTTCTGTGCAGGCCCTCAGGTAATTAATTCAGATTGAATTAGTTATTGGATGCCACTGTGTTGCAAATCACAGCATACAGTCGAAGTGCAATTTGGGTTTCCTGATCTTACAGCTTTACAGTCTAGTTGTTGGTGGGAGATGAAACAGCAAAATGACAATTTAGGATTGTATTGCTTATCCAAAATGGATGACATAAAAATAATGTGATTTTGGGGGGGGGGTGGTTTTTTTGGGGCGGGGGGGGGGG